ACTATAAGGTAAATCTATTTTAAATTCATTTTAAATTTGTGGCGAATAAGCCGACCTCCGACGTACTTGACGCGTTTTTCTAGTGTTTTAATTACTGTTTTTCTATGTCGTGCTTCCTTATACTTTACAATTAGTACTTCGGCTACAAAAATCAATATGCCAAGAGAAAAACAAAGAAAAATGAATAAGTAAGCCTTTCTTATATTTTCCCACGTGATTTCATTGTATTCTGCACCTGCATTTTCAATTGTTTCCCTAGCTTTGAATTTTTGGAAAATATATTTCGATTGCTGCCTATCCCATAAATCGAAAAGACCCATTTCCGCAAATCTCGCGGTTACTTCTTCAACTTTGTCCTTGAGGACCCAATCTTTTTTTGCCCAGAAAGTAAAATGCGTAGGATTCATTTTTTTTGTGCCAAATGCAAGTCATATGCAGCTTGTACTTGATACTATAAAGGGCCAAGACAAGCATTAGAACTCTCATTCAATACTTTATCGTAGCAAGTTGACGGATGATAACTGAACATTCGCAAGTACGTTTCGTTCAAATTCAAAATTGGTGTCTGTTCGACAATGAAGTCATTCAAGTAATCGGGGTAGTAAAGGTTGAACTTAAAGTCTCTTAAATTTTCTAAATTTTGAGGGTAAGACCGCTCAGGCTTTGTTGTGTAAGAAAAAATTTGACCTTGTATTTGTGGAGACACGATAAAAAATAACAAAGTTGTCATGATAAAAGTAATGCGGACAGGGAATTTATCCAACGGCGCATCGATTCCAGAACCTATAGAGAGCCGAATAATGTCCAAGAACCCATTGCCATAATCACGACCATTGTGGATTACTATAATCACGAATGATACCACTAAAATAAAAATTGTTACACTAATAATTTTAAAATTCAAAAATGCATCAAAGTTTTCAATTGTTCGAACGATACTTTTGCGCTGAGTGAGAATCATGCAGTAAGATAATTTAAATTTATGGAATCGATGTCGGTTATATGCTCGAGCTTGCGGAAATTTAAAGCCAAATCATATGTACCATTCATTAATTTATTCAAATACCCAAATGAAGTATTATTTATCCAGTGACCTACTCGATCATAATATATGATGGGTGTGACATTCAGAGCCGAAAATAAGGTTTTCGCATACATATTATTTTGATATTTGTTATGTTTCTGTAAAGAATCAATGTCGTATTTTTTATCGCGAGTATAATGTAAGAATGACCTACTAACAGATGCCGTCTTCGTCAAGTTTCAGCTTATCCACTTTTAATTCACAGTGACTTTAAAACGGTAAGTGACATTTTAAACTGTTCTATTGCAACCAGGAACTCAAGAATCAATAGTTCGGCCGCTGACGGTATAAATCGCGTCGTTTCATTTTTGAGTATCAACAGATACTGCCGATTTTGCAAGGTCTACTTACATGTATAATCACGTCATTTTTATGTTTATTATTACTTCGTTTGTTGTGAAGTTTACGCTTGACTGTTTCCTAGGTAACGAGTGTTTTTTAACCTATTTTCTAATTCCCTAGGGAAAATATTGCGATACACGCATAGCTCAGATTGTAGGAGTATTGCACACATTGATAACATGTAAAAATATAAGTATACATACATTTACGACTGTCTTGCATGGTTTTTAAGTAGATTATTCTTATAAAAGCGAATTTTCTAGTTAATATCTTATAAATAAAACAATTCATAAGTTGAATCAATTTGTGCATTAATTTCTTCAATTAAACTCAGCGCTACTATTGTTTATATTGATTACGCAGAACTAGTTGGACTTATCTACATCAATAGCAAATAACCACGTCGGCTTAAAGCAAAGAGTAGGATTATTCGTTCTGATATTAGCAGCATTGATCCGATTCCTCGATACTTGAAATGTCCTTTAGAAGTTTTACTAATTTTTCCACAACAAATACAACAAATGCTTGCATGGTATAGCTTTCATGTGTGTAGACTCCGGAAGTGTCGCTTCAGTGCTTTTTTATCTATGAGTTTTATCGATTGATAGTCACCCATTTTAAATGTAGCTGAAGATATTTCATATGAGGAAATAGTGGTCGTTGGCAAGATCTATGCGTAATCATACACGTAATAACAAGCCTGGTCAAAATATCTCCACTTTTAAATATAAGAGGACCGAACTTGTAGACATTGGAAACGAGTTAGAATCGAAATATTGTTATCGCATACAATGATAAAAAAATCTGAAAAATAGTTGACCTTGCAGGCCAGCCCTGAAACTTCCCACTATGTTTGAGGTAAAAATGTTCGCGAATTTTCGTACACGGAAAGAAATACATTGCGGATATCACTATGTCACTATAGGTGTGAGCACCATACTGTATGGTTTAGAAGATTTTTCATTGGATAAAAAATCGTCAGCATAGATGATTTGGCTATGGTGGGAATAGTAACATCGACAATAGTTATAGCCGATGCGCCAATGTCACTATGGGCGTCAGCCCCATAGTGACTAGCGACATTTACGATGCTCCTGGTAGAACAGTCTATGCGCATTATTGTTATATCTCTTATGCTAATATTGGAGTTGTAACAAAGTTAGTTTAATTGATTAAATAGGTTATGCACTGATAAAAGGATTTATTAACTATTAATAATTTAATTTATTTGAAAACAATTATTTAATTTATTAAATTTTAATAAATATTTTTCAACATTAAATAAATATTTATTTGGGAGGAAATTAGATTTATTAAAGGCTAATAAATATTTATTTATATTTAACGAATATTTATTAACAGTTAATAAAGATTTTGTAGAGTGAATTTGTTTCGCTTGCAATGTCATCTTTATAAATTATTTGCATTAATTATATTATGTTATAATAACGTTTATTATAAAATACCAAATTCTATCACAGCTCATAATTATCTTTTATATTTTTATGTATTAAAAACGTTAATTTATTTAGTAAATTAAATTAATATTATGTATTCCAGCTATAAGGTTATAAAAAGTGTCAAAAGAAAATTGCTATTTTTGCGTTTTATATTAAATAAATATTTTTTAACAGTTAACAAATATTCATTAACTATTAATAAATATTTATTAACGGTTAATAAATTGTACTAAACAAATTACTTATTAACTGTAAATAAATATTTTTTACCTGTTAACAAATATTTATTGAATCGTATGATGTTAAAAAATCATTTATTAACCGTCAATTAAGCTTATTAAATATAAAAAAATCTTTCTATCAGTGTGCTCAATGAAAAATATTTAAAAATTTTGTATTAAACTAGTTTAATGTAACAATCAATTTCCAAGTAGTTAAATATTATTTAGTAAAAGGAGAAAAATAAAAAACTTGGCGTATGAAATTAAAATTAACATTGTTTTTAATTTATTTTTATTTCTTATTATTTTACAGAAATTTCTAATCATTTATTTCTAATTCTTATACATACATATATTACGATATTTTTTTTTTTTAATAATGAATTTATATTAAATCCAACGTTTTGGAATGTAAGTTTTACCGTTCCCAGCGATTACTTTTCGAGTCACTACAAAATTTTAAATCTTAATAAAATAAACAATACCACCTCTTACCTAGAAAAAATATCACATAAATTTAGGTTAGTTTACTTATTTTCATGATTTTTTCATGATATATATTATTAGATGTATTTGATTTAATGATAGTACTTACTATTTCAACAAAATCAAAACAATATATTATATTTATTACGTTTATTTATTGCGTTATATTTATACTTGTTATTATATTTATACTCGTTACACTTGTAAACACACGTTTATTTTTTTTTACTAATTTATAAATTTTTATGTCGGTATAGTAGCTGTACCCATAAAATATTGGCCGTAATTCGATAGAGTTATTGATTGTCGCGCCAAATAGCATCGCGAGAAAAACTAGTAGCATTGCGAGATGTGCGATGCAGTATGGGGCTGGCGGCAATGCTGTCACGTCAAACCGGGTAGACCTCTATTGCCCAGAAGAGAATTGGCTACACTGTCGATGGAGTAGATCCCAATTGCCCAGATTTAAATATCCCAGAATCCGATCACTCATATTATCGATGATACGAATTTTCGATGGGATAGAATTCCGATTACACTAAATTCCGATGATACAGATCCCGATTGCCCAGAATCCCGATATTATTAATCCCAATGACCCTGAATTTCAATTAATTAGAATCCCAATTGCCTCAAATTCCGTTGATACCAATCCCGATTGCCCAGAATCTTGATATTGTTGATCCCGATTACCCTGAATTTTTGTCGGCTAGAATCTCGATTAGTTAAAATCCCGATGATACAGATGTGAACATTACCCAGGGTTAAAAATTTTTAATTCTCATCCACTCTATGAAATTATCGAGTTTATGGCAATATGTTGTATTGCTACTTGCAGGTTGTGGTTTATCACAAATTTAAGATTAAATACATTAGAAATATACTTTCTTTGTTGCTGTAAGATGGACAGCGGAGTTCTCGGTCCACCTCACTTTCCTCCTCTCCTGTTAGCATCTGTTAGCATTACAGGGGAGTAGGTAGTGGTAATTCGTAGAAAATTTGCTACTTGCAGATTGTGGTTTGCTACTTGCGGGTTGTGGTTTATCACAAATTTAAGATTAAATACATTAGAAATATACTTTTTTTATACTTAGCAAAACTGAGTCGAAGTAGAGCGTGAACTTAGTTATAGTGAAGGTAAATATATCTATGATGGTTAGTAGTAACAGCGTGTTGTGACAGCTTGTAAACATTAGGTAAGATTATAAATTTAATTATCTTTCGTATAAAAAAATTAAGTTTCATTACAATATCAGTACAATAATTCGTGTATTATTAAAATAAATAAATTATATTATTTTATATATCTTATTATTACGGTTATAATTTACATGCAATTCATTAAAAATAAGATTTACTACTTAAAAAATTATTTATTTTACAGACTGCAGAAACCCTTGGCCTTGTTCAACTTTCACAGCTACTAACATTTAGATGCTGCATTATATTTTGAGCTTGAAAATAGCAAGTATCCCAATTATCATCAGGCTTGGGTACAAAAGGGGGGACAGCTTCTTCAGGTTTATCCCAAGGAAATTCACTTAAAAACTCCATTTTTCTGACCTCCTTAGCCGTCGGCCTCTCCTTGTGATCCAACGTCAACAAGCTATCAATCGCTTGAAACGCGTGTTTTCCCAAAATCTCATCACCTTCAGGCCAAGGAATGTCCCTCTTTAAAATATTCTTAAAAACCTTCTGTGGTGTCTCATCATTAAAAGGTGGAATCCCCGTACAAAATTCATACAAACAGACCCCCAGCGCCTACCAGTCTACTGCAGCGCCATGACCTTGCTTCCTGAGTAACTCTGGTACCAAATAGTCAGGAGTACCAAGAATCCTGCTGTCCGACTTGTCTTCCCCTCTCCTCACACTTTTCGGAGTTCTATATGGTGTAAAATTAGCATTTTGTAAACTTCCCGCAGGAGTTTTTATCGGAGAAACTCCTTGTGGTGACCGCTCTCCAGCAGCAGCAGCAGCAGCAGCAGCAGAAGATGTCTCTGGAAGCTCGAATCTGGTCGCTTTTTTTACCTACTATGCGCCCGTGCGATAGACGCAAAAATTCTGGTACCATACAGTATAGTAGATAATCCTATACTCATAGGACTTATAGCAATGCTCTATAGCGACATAGGGATATCCGCAATGTATTTCTTTCCGTGTATATCTATATTGTATGTATATATATAGATATACAGTGTGTGAAGAGTATTGAAAAAGTATTGAATTACATACTTTTTCAATACTTTTTTTTAATCAGAGTAGTTTTTCCCGCGATGCTACTTGGCACGACAATCAATAACTCTATCGAATTATGGCCAATATTTTATGGGTACAGCTACTATATCGATAGGGTTACCAACTCTCCGGTTTTAGTCCGGAGACTCCAGAAAAATAATGTATTCTCCGGACTCCAGTTTACAAAAATAATCTCCGGATTTTTTTACTTTTAGAAAAAAAATACAGTTTTTTTTTTCTGTCGCAACAAAATGTACGGAACTATATTAATAATAATAATTTACCGAGAATATAGAGCGCGTTAGTCGCGCTAATCAAGTTTCGCATTTTGAATTCTCACGCTTGCGCTTACGTACTTCTCACAAGTAAATAATGTTGTTGTTGACGTACGTAAATTCGCACTTTTAAAATGTAGAATATTTAATTAATTATTATGTGATTATTAGTTTTAAGGCATCACTTATGATCAGTATTATTTAAATGTAAGTATTGATATCATACATTTTCATTATCTATCATCACCTGATTAACTTCGGGTTTTTAAATTAATGACATTTTATAACCTTAATATGTATTCTCATATATCATGTATTTTTTCAGGTAGCTGCTAAATAATAGTTTTGTCTTATCAGAGATTTTATAATTTTAACAAAAAATACAAATTATCATTAAAATTATTTATTGAATACAAAAGTGCAATTTTTAAAAATGGCAGAACAGCCAAGACAAAAAAAAGTTAAGTACGAAACATCTTTCAACGAAAGATGGAAAAAAAATCATTTATATGCGGATTGGATGAGAAAAATTGATGAAAAAACAGTTAAGTGCGTTTACTGTTCATCTCAATTTACTATCAAATGGGATGGTGAAACTGCTTTGACTAAACATATGAATTCTACGATGCACAAAAAAAATACATCTGAATGACAAAAAAATTGTTTAATAACTCAATTTGCTCCAGTAAAATCAACAGCAATTGATAACAAGAAGGCTCAAATTGAAGTTGCTTCTGTTTATCATGGTCTCCAACATCACCACAGCTATTTAAGTACTGATTGTGGAATTAAACTGAGTTCAAAAATGTTTAATGATTCAATGGTTAGCAAAGAGATTCGTTGTGGTAGAACTAAGGCTGAAGCTATCGTTAAAAACGTGTTATCTCCAAAGTCAATTGAGATGGTGATAAACGATGTTAAGCCTCTTGAACAAGATCCTTTGTACTTTTCAATCGCAAGTGATGCTTCTAACAATGGAAATCAAAAACTATTTCCCATTGCTATTCAATACTTCACAAGAAAAAGTGGCGTACAAAATAAATTATTAGATTTCTTCGAAGATCCTAAAGAAGAATCTTGCGATATTTACACTAATATCCGGAGCTGCTTGGATAATTACAACTTGGACATTTTGCTTGTTTCCGCATATTCAGCTGATAACGCTAACGTTAATTATGGTGTACGTAATTCCGTACAGAAAAAACGAGATAAAAAAAAAGTTCCGGAAACATTCCTCAGAAAAGTTCAGATTATGGGGCGATCCGGAACTTTTGTGGAACATTTCCGGAACTCTTTAGAAACAGTATTAAAAAAATTTAGTTACAAACTTTTAAGTAACCAAAAATTTGAAATTCTTCAAATTTTTTAGGAACTTTTCCGTAACTTTTGCGGAACTCTTTCGGAACTCTTTGGAAACAACATTAAAAATTTTACTTACAAACTTTTGAGTAACCAAAAATTTGAAATTCTTAAAATTTATTAGAAACTTTTCCGGAACATTTTTGAAATCCTTTCGGAATTTTGGCGGAACTTTTCAGGAATTTTTCCGGAATTTTTTTTGAATGTTTTTTGGAACTTTTTTAATACTGTTTCTAAAGAGTTCCGGAAACGTTCTGGAAACGTTCCGGAAACTAAAATTATCTATCCGGAATATAAAAAATTAGCTATTTAACCGGTTTAGCAGTTGACTAATTAGCTAAGTTAAGCTAGGTTAACCGGTTAAGCCGTTGACTAATTAGCTAAGCTAATTCGGCTAATCGGTTAAATTAGCTAAGCTGGCCAACTAACTGGCTAATTAACTTAGCTAACTTTTTTAGCCGGCCTAACCGGCCAAATTGTACAGCCCTAGTTTTTACATTATTTCTGATTTCTTATTCATTGTAGTTTTCTGATTCGACGTATGAAAAATTTTATAATAATTATAGACTACATTTTTTTTAGTTTGAATTAATAATATTATACTGCAAATGACGTTTATTTTTAGTTTAGCTGAAACAATAGAATATGATTATCATTATCACATATCTAATTAACAAGAAAAAGTAACATTCTTTAGTAGTACGTATGTTACTCGAACTTTGAGATTCGATATAATATTATTTTTTATTGATGAAAATCTATTTCAACTTGATGATTTAAGGTAAAGTATCTCGGGAATTAACATCAGTTGATAGTTAAAGTTACATAAAATACCAAAAAATTTTATCAATGATTACATTAAAGTAAGGTCTTTGTTCTTCGTATCTTCAAAAAAACCGAAAATTCATTTCGTTATCAGACTATAATGGAAGTGTTTGATTGATTTAACGTTGACGAGATTAATAAAATATCAATTTACTATAAACTAAAGCAATTTAAAATAATTTTTCTGCCCTCCGGCCGGAAAGTGGCAACTTTCTGGCCGCTGCGCTAAACAAAGTTGCCACATTCCGGCTACGTCGAGCAGAAAAATAGTATACACACCTTGGCCAGTAAAAAGTAAAGCCTCAGATCACACTCGGCTTCGCCTCGGCCAACAATTACATGTGATCTGAGACTTTTCTTATTTTACTGGCCTAGGTATGTAATATACTCGGTCAACAATTACATGTGGTCTGAGACTTTTCTTATTTTACTGGCCTAGGTATGTAATATACTATTTCTGCCCTCCGGCCGAAAAGTGGCAACTTTCTGGCCGCTGCGCTAAACAAAGTTGCCACATTCCGGCTACGTCGAGCAGAAAAATAGTATACACACCTTGGCCAGTAAAAAGTAAAGCCTCAGACCACATGTTTGTCAACCTCGGCTTCGCCTCGGCCAACAATTACATGTGGTCTGAGACTTTTCTTATTTTACTGGCCTAGGTATGTAATATTACTATACACTAGACACTAGTCTCTACACACTAGACACTAGTCTCTATAAAGGACAATTATTTGACCCAAGGTGACTACAACGTCATCATGATGAATTGGTCGGCTATTGCTGCCAGCAATTATGTAACTGCGGTAGCAAACCTTGGATATGTTGCGATTGATCTTGCGAAAATGGTTTCAATGTTGAGGAGGGAAGGGGTCCGAGACATCCATGCGATTGGTTTCAGTTTAGGGGCTCATGTCACAGGAATTGCAGGCTATTACCTAGGAAGGGATAAGTTCAACAGAATAACTGGTTTGAATCCAGCGAAGCCATTTTTTATGAATGTTCCTTTGAAAGATAAATTAGATGCTACCGACGCTTATTTCGTAGACGTCTATCACACGGAGACGATTATCGAAGGGAAAAATGAAAAATGTGGACACGTTGATTTTTATGTCAATTGGGGAGAGATACAACCTGGTTGTGGTAGTCTTAACATTGTTTGCAGCCATTTCAGGGCCCCGATCTACTTTGCAGAGTCCATAATTTCAAACATTGGATTCTGGGGATTCCCTATTAATCTTCTTAGACTGACACAAACACGAAGCCCATGGATACTTGCTGGTGAATATGTTGATAAGAATGCTTTTGGAAGCTACTACGTTGGTACTAACTCACACTATCCTTATGCCAAAGGACGTAGCTTTTAGAAAATACTATTTATCTTTTTTACCGAGTAAAGATAAAATTATTCCTACTTTTTTGTATCGATTAATAAATTCATGATGTAAAAAAGCTTCTTATGATCGAATTCTTTAAATTTAATCCTAAACTTAAGGTAAGTCTAGATATTAATGCATTTTTATTTGTTTGCTTTGCAAACTACTGTTGATGATCGGATTTTTATTGCATCTTGATAATTTGAAGAGCTCTTAAGTGAAAACTGAAACTTACAAATAAGAAAAAGAATGTCTTATAGTTAATAAAAAAAAAGTTTGAAAATCAGTTTATCATATAATTTTTATAAGTATCAAGTTAAATTGTAGACAATAAAAAATTTGTTAATTTTTATGAAAATGAAGTTTTTTATTATTAAAATACTGTTCAACTGTTTTGTTACATAGAAAAATATATTGTTATCTTATAACTTGTACATACATAACTATCAAAATGTAACGATATATATTCTATTTAGTTACGAAACATCATAAGCAAAAGTTTACTGATTAATACTTCCGAGACAACTTCTTATTATAGGAAAATTTTTGATTAAATTATCCAGAAAATTGAAAACTTAAATAAATATTAAATATAAAAGTAGAAAATAAAAACTATAAACAATCAAAACAAAAATGTAAGTATAAATTTTAATGCAAATAAACTATTCAGCAGTACCACTGCCGTAAGTTCTATCCCAGACAACATAATTGACCAAATCTCCCTGCGCGACGCTAGGTCTAACTCTCTTGAACGCTTCCAAAAAATCATCAATAGTGGTGCCTCTGACGTCTTCCATCCTAATGTTTTCCATCATATCAAAAGGAATGCTTCTAATCGGACCCATGCTTGCTTCTTTGCACAATGTCGTCATATCAGCACCCGAAAAATGATCTGCCTTTTCCGCGACCGTCTTAACATCTTCTTCCGTCAAACTGTGTTTCTCATTGGCTAACAAATTTCTGACGATCTGCTTTCTTGCTTCCAATTCTGGCAGTGGAACATACAATCGCTTAACGAATCGTCTCCTAGCAGCCTCATCCAGCTCCTGGGGCCTGTTAGTAGCTCCGATCAACAGAATCTTATCATCATCACCCGTAGTAGCTCCATCTAGATGAATCAGAAATTCAGTCTTGATCCTTCTGGAACTTTCATGCTCCGTATCTGAACGTTGACTCAGCAAAGAGTCAATTTCATCGATAAAAATTACCGACGGCTGATAAACTCGTGCAACTGCAAACAGTGCACGCACCATTTTTTCGCTTTCTCCGACCCATTTTGACGTCAACGAGCTGGAAGAAATTGCGAAGAATGTCGACTTGCTCTGCGAAGCGATGCACTTTCCGATAAGTGTCTTCCCAGTTCCAGGTGGCCCGAAAAGCAGAATTCCCTTTGGAGGACGTCTGAGCCCAGTAAAAATGTCAGGACGCAGCATCGGCAAAACCACAGCTTCCTTAATGATATCTTTGGCCTTCTCCAGACCTGCAACATCATCCCACGTGACGAAGGAACCCGAGTCCATAATTTCATTGCGTATCAATTCAATCATCTTGGGATCAATGTTCTTCAGACGTTCATCTTCACAGTCTATATCTTCTTGACTATCAGGGCGATCAGATTGTTCAGGTTTATCTTCTGTATCAGGTTTGCTGAACACATTGACAAATCCTTTGCTAGCACTAGTCTTGCCACCAAGAGTCTTTCCCTGATACTTTGATTTGTTCGCTTTTTGCTGCTCTTGAACTTTAATCTGACGCGCGTTTCTAAAGGGTTCCATTTTGCGAGTATCTTTATTACCAGTCAACGATTTAGGAAGATCTTCTTCGTCATCGTCGTTGTTACGATTGTATTTTTTGTACAGATTATCAAAATGCGAACGTTTTTCTTGGCGCTTTAGTAAATTTAGTTCTTGGGTGGGTTCTGAAGGAAATGACGTTGATCTATATGGGGTGATAGCTGAATTTGAGAAGCCGGAAGCTGAGTTTGCTAAGTTAGAAGTTTGTTTGTGTAAAGGGTTACTACTGCCTGGATTCGCGGAAAATTGAGGCATTTTTCGACGACGTGGAGACTCTGTTTTACCGTTCCAGTAGCCGATTATGTTATTTACGTCACAATCGTTTGGCAAAATTGATTTGCAGGACGCAGAAGCGTCTTTTTGACACGGTAGTGGTTTGATTAAAGAAAGAATGTCGGAGTTAGTTATTAATGATGAAATTGAGGCTTTTTTTGTAAGTTGAGAACTTCGGGATTGATGATCTTTGTCGACTTCCATTTCAGAAATGTAGTGGTCTAGATCGTGCGATAAAAGACGTAGCGCCAATTCGTCGGAGCTGAAAAGAATTTGAAATTTAAAAAAATCATTACTATCGTTATCGTTAAAATAAAGTTTTTTTAATTAAATGCTGTATAAAAAATTGATTTTGAAAATTCATTTCGCTAAGTTTTTGTATTGTTCGAAAAACAAATAAATATCACTTTTAAAGTTTTATTATAAAAAAGTGAAAAAAATAAAATTGATTTGAATCAAAATTTGCTGGAAAACATTAGAATTATTCTAAAGGAAAATTAAGTTATTCTTGATTTCAGAGAATTGCGTTAAAAGTTTTTTCAGCGAGTAGTAAATTCATTCACATTCTTAATAATAATTTTTAACTTCCCGTTAAGAAAATTGAAAATTTTCAAAAATCGGGAAGTTATTGTTTTTACCCCGGTTTTCGAAAATCGAGTTTTCATTAGATCTCGACGTTTTGAGGTGTCTGTACATCTGTGTGTGTGTGTGTGTGTGTGTGTGTGTGTGTGTGTGTGTGTGTGTGTGTGTGTGTGTGTGTGTGTGTGTGTGTGTGTGTGTGTGGATGTGTGTGTGTGTGGATGTATGTAAACCTCTCATAACTTTTGAACGGCTTGACCAATTTCATCGCGGTTGGTGCCATTCGAAAGGGTTTGACTGAACTTAGATTTCGAATATAATTTGGACCGATTCGGACCGTTAGATTTTGAAAAATCTCAAAAAGGCTTCAAGGATCGATTCCAAAAACTTATCAGCTCTTAACATTGAGAAACCACGTCGATCGCCACCAAGCCAGTCAAAATCGGTTGATTCGTTCATGAGTTATCGTTCACGAAAGAAAACCGAAAAAAGTGTTTTTTCGGAATTACTTCAAAATTCCAAGTTCAATCAATCTAAGCTTAAAGATTCTTTATGAGACTCAAAAAACTGCGTCGAATGCCGCTAACCGCGTGGAAATCGGTTTATTCATTAAAAAGTTATTGCGATTTGAAAATTCAAAAAATTGTGTTTTATTAAACTTGTATCAGACTTTTGAGCTCGGAGAGCTCAAAATGGCACGAAAATTATATTTTTGAGCTCAACGAGCTCAAAAACGGTATACGTGCAATTTTGAGCGCTTAAGTATGAAATGAGCGGGAAGTTGCAGGGATGACCTTTAGGGTCAACCGTTTTCCTATTTTTTTTTTAACTATTTACATTATATATATTTTTTTTATAAATAAAAAAGTATGAAAATTAACAATTATATAAATCTTATTACTTAAAAGTTTTCTTTAGAACAAACACTTGAAAAAAAGATTTCATTCAAACATACAACGCCATTTGTTGTACATATATTCAACTATATGTAACTGAACGGATGATATTTGCAGCTAGATTAATGCAACTAGAGAAACGTGTGCGCTGACGCACGAGTGCCAAAAAACCTTACCCACTAAGATGATACATAAATGAACGTCATTAATATAATATTTTGCACAATATCGTAATAAAAAACGGATTGTTGTATTATAAAGAAATAGAAATAAGTGAATGCAGATATTAATTAATGAAATAGTTATTTTCGATACATATAATATATAAAACTTTGAAATTAGCGATAGACGTTTGCGATTTTATAATTTGATTTTTTTGAAGAAAGTTTTTAGTTTCTCCTGTAAAGTAGTGTTTTTTGAAATAATGAGGTTACGTCAGAGTACCCTCGATATGCGTAAGGGTATTTTGACGGCTTGAAGTGACGTCACAAGTTTGAGGCTATGGGCGCATTATTATCAAGACCGAGTTATTTATCCGGACAAGCGTCGCGAGTCCAGACATAGTACGAGGTCTTGATGAGAATGTATCCATAGCCTCAAACGTGTGCCTTCACTTTAAGTTTGTCAGAGTCTCTACTTTTGAGCGATTAAAGTATCGAACATAATTTTTTGTTACATCAATTGCGGAAGTTGGATTTGAGAGAGCAGTCAAGAATGTTCAATTACTGTTTATTTTATTTAAAGGCACAAGAATTATGTCACACGAGATTAAATAGCGATGGATTAAACGCAAGTATATGTTGAAAATGTTTACAAAATTCAACTGTCGCTAAGATTCTTTTTGCGATTTTTACTCCACCCAGCGGACGTTTGTCGAATTAAAAGATAATTCGACTCATCTATTGCGTATTTTAGCATAGTCGTGCAGAAATGTAGAGACAGATAGAGAGAGAGAGAGAGAGAAGTTATTTTTCGATACTAGTGCGAAGTAAACTAACTAAACTGTAGATTGCCAGAAATCGTATTCTTTGCACCCTCTGTGTGTTGCTCGAAAATCTAACTTTCGCGGTTGATATGACAAAAAATATTTTTTTAATTTAATAATAAATATCAGTCTTGTTTTTACATTATATAAAATTAATATTCGTTATTTGATTACGATATTGTGCGAAATATTCATAGTGTTTTGATAGTATTAGATGTTTAGAATCAAATCAGTGATTATTAATTTTGAAACTGTATATAACAAACTTCAGTAACTATGTGACTGAGAATTACAAACTATGAATAAAATAACTTTGTCTCAGTAATTTTTCAATATTTTTAACTGAATCGTTTATTTGAGAAACCCCATAAGTCATATGGGGTTTCCATATGACTTATGGGGTTTCTCAAATAAACGATTCAACTGTAATATACAAAATTTGGGCACGGTTTAAATAAGTAAAAGAACTTAATATAGTTATAATAAGATTAATTACCAACAATTTAACAGAAAATGTGACGGTATAAATTTATAAAACTAATCATTTAAAATTGCTTTAAATATAAATAACATAAAATATTAATCATCATCAAAAATTTTACATACAAACGGGGAAAGGTGCAAATACAGATCAAGACTTTTTCATTGATACTAAATTTTACTAAAAATAAACCCATCTTATCATATAAATTTCCTTAATCTCTTATTTATATAAATTGATAACAATGATGGGTGTCAATAATTGATACATGAAATTTGAGCTACGTCATATTGAATGTAAATTTAAATAGCATGAAAACTTTTTGTTTTTATAACTACTTTAAAGACTTCCTTTTGAAATATTAAAAATAATTTGAATAATGAGTCATAGCTTAATATTTAATGTCAATATTTAACTTATTATTTTTAGTTCAGTAAAATAATGAATTTTGGTTATTATAGGTGTCAATAATTGGTCTACAATGTTATGCTAGTAATTAGATCCAATGAGTACCGATCTGATTAGAACCGATAAGTATTAAGCGGGTCGAAATACATAAAAATCATGCTTAGTTTAGGTCAAAAAAAATTTTTAAATCATTTCAAATCGTCTAACTTTGAAAATTTGACGGTATACGGGTCAAACTGACCTTAAATTCGGATTCAGCGGGTCAAAATATATAAAGATATACGGGTCCCGTCAAAAGTACTGATAACTTTTTTTTTTGTGTGCCGGCGTAATTAATGTGCGTGCAGGCAATTGACATTATTAGTTACGAAATAAATAATTAAATTTAAGCAAGTACTATTAAAAAACACGGATTTTTTAGTCAAATAACTAAAACAATGTTTAAAAAATTCAATACACTGAAAAGAAAATAAACTAGATTCAAGAGAAAAATTTTTGAACTAAGAAATTATTTTTGATTTAAGGTTGTTCGGACAGTAAGTAATAGAGTAAATGCACTAATTATTGACCGATTAAGGTTTTCTTTTTCTGTACTAAGCTACAAAAAATCTATTAACCTACTAAAACCAATTTATAATGGATTTTATTAAAGTTAAATACTTAATTAATAATAATTAATAACTATTTATAATAAAAATTAACAAAATTATATTAATTTTGTTATTTGAATCTTGAAATACTAAAATCACCAATTATTGACCGAAGAAACGCAATAAATGACCTACCGTTCTCCAATTAATTCACCGCTCAAATAATTATAAGTAATTTTGTAAACTACATGTATGTAATTAAATTTATGCAGTACTTTTAAAGTATTAACGACATCTTTAACAAAACTAAACATACAATATAATTTTAAATCGTACTTTTTTATAAAATTATATAAATAATAGCAATAATTAACATAAAGTCACATTTCTTTAGGTCACAAATAATCACAAATTGATTTTGATGACGATAATTCTTCTGATTCACTTGAAATTTTTTTTATTCTTCTCCTTCTTTTTTTCAATTAAAGCTTTTTTACTAGCTTGTAACTCTTTTTTATTTTTTTAATTGCTTAGCAATTTTTTCTTCTAATAATTCGTTCTTTGATATAACCGTTCACTAAAAAAATTAGAACAAAATAAAATTTAATAATCAAAAAAGATTTTAAGTATTATTTTAATTGTAAATATATATTTTATAATGATTATTTTTATATTTACAAAATATTGAATGACTAAAGTACTTTAAACACTTGACAGATTTAATTTTGAGTTTAAGAAGTTAGTATTATAAATATACGGTGATTAATTGGATTGTGATAAAATCAGAGGGTCTAATAAATGACCGAATGAATTTTTTACTGGGTAAAGGGCTTCTGACGGATCCAATAGTTGACCGGTCTTAAAATAATATTATAACTTATAATTTAACTTTATTTTTTCAAAAAATATGGAATCTGATCTTTAATTAACATAATAAAACTAAAATATTTTATATTATGCCGATAAATATCACTAAATTAATTATGAAATGCACCCGAGTCGAAATTCAAGTTCCGTTTTAGCGGTAGAAGTGTCCCAAGTCGAAATTCGAGTTCTGTTTTAGCGGTAGAAGTGTCCGAGCCCTTTAAAGGCTGATTTGCCGCCTGAGAATGCGTCTGTTTTGATGGTAGAAGACGGCGCAGGTGAAAAATACCGGTAAAACAGACGTACTTGGTTCTGTTTTGACCGTAAAAAATATCCGAAGAACATTTATTATTATTATTATTTTTGTTATTATTATTATTATTATTATTATTATTTTTATTTTTATTATTTTTATTACTTTTATTTTATAAACATTTGTGTAAAAGAAAATGCATCACTTGAATCTTTAAATGACTATATCTTATAAACTAATGAAGTTACGGCTTTTGTGATTCAGGACAATTTTATAGAGTAATTATCGGACTACTCAAAAATAATTTTTTTATATTTTTAATTCCATTTGCCCATCAGTTTTTTTTATTTATTCAAATTATTACATGGTTAAGGGTACATTTTCTAGATTTTATTGTCAAATTTATGTTCCCACACACAACAGATTATTATATGTAAAATCCAGAAAAATGTATCCTTGACCGTGTAATAATTTAAATAAATAAAATAATGATAAACAAATCGAATTAAAAATATAAAAAAATTATTTTAGAGTAGTCCAATAATTACGCTATAAAATTATTGTGAATCATAAAAGCCGTAATTTCAATAGTTAAAAGACATAATCATTTAATGATTTAAGTAATGCATTTTTTTATAAACAAATATGTATAAAAATTGAACCATAATAGATATCGAGCATATAAAAAATTTATTATATAAATTAATAAATTGCCTAAAAGATCGTCCTGAAATTCAAAGACCGTGGCATCAATAGCTTAGAAGTTATAACAATTTCTAAGTTATTAAAATAGTTGATCGCTTCAA